TCATAACTCACTTAAACTTTCTTTCTTTACAGGTGCAACTGATTTGAAGTGATGGCAGAAGCAAGACTAAGCTTTGAGAAAAGGAAATTTATCCTAAAGCGCTACTGGAAGTGCGAGAACGTTTTTTTTTTATGGGGATACCTCAAAGATAAGGTTTATAGCACAAAAACCTGAAACAATCAATGAGGTGAAAGCAGCAATTGAAAGAGAATGTTGCCAAAATACCAAATGAAATGATTCGTGATGTTTGCAATTCCATCTGTCATCGTTATCAGCAGTGCCTGGACCAGAACGGTCATCAGTTCGAACACCTGCGATAACTCAAAATATTCTACACTTGTCTTTTTTAACTTGGATTATAAAACTCAAATATATCTTAATAAGCATTCTATTTATAATCATTCAAAATGTGTATACAATGTTTGGGACACCCTGTATATTATTTAATAGTAGAAGACGGTATATTATTATTAAATAACATTTATTATTAACAACTTTATTTTCCCGAAGACATTTCCCGAATTTTTTCAGCTAAAGTACCATTAGGACAATTTTAATTTTAAGCAAAAATTAACATAAAATAATAATTTCATTTATGACTCTAATGTAAAGTCTACAGAATTTATAAGGTGGAAAAATAAAATAAAATGGGGACAGAACATGTCTGAAAACCTTTTAATAAACATCATTTAACTCTAGAAAATCAAACGTAATGGTGTTTTTCTTTATGATGTATTCAAATTCGATGCCATTCAAGCCGTCTCCAGCCATTATTTATGATGTATTGTTAGCAGTGAACGATTATTTTAGAACTGTATTTCCGTGTAAGGCAATCAATTGCGTGACACTACTTTTACAGCAAGGCACGCAACAAAATTATAGGTAAAAAATGAAAACCTTATAGTCTACCTATATATACGTGTGTACAAGTTGTTTTATTTGAACTTTAAAGACGAACAATTGTTCGATCAAAAATAGTGTTTTAATCTATGACGCACTTTGCTTTTGCTTCGTAAGTTTTTAAATGCACAAGGAACAAACACCCTTACACATACCTATATAATTTTTCGATAATTTTCTATTCTTCTTATATGGGAATTTTATTTGTAAAGCAAATAATTTTGCTTGGGAAGTGTTTAAATAGACGATAAATAGAAACTAACACACCGCTATGAACCCCTCGTGAAAGTTAGAACTCCAGGAAATGAAAAGGTTGATGGTTTAACTTAGTTGAATTTAAATGTTGAAGATACGATAGGAATATTTCCGTAAATGTGGATAAGGTTTTATGCTTTGGCCGTTGCTGATTGAATACATTTTGGTATAAAATGGACTTACACCCTGATGGTATGTGTTCTGATTAATTAGACAATTCTGTTTCTGATAGACTGTACACGATTTAAGATTTTTTCATCCTATACTCCTTAACATGGTTACGAATAAGACTTCTGTTTCCGATAGATTGTACACAGTTTAAGATTTTTTCATCCTATACTCCTTAACATGCTTACGAACAAGACTTCTGTTTCTGATAGATTGTACACAGTTTAAGATTTTTTCATCCTATACTCCTTAACATGCTTACGAACAAGACTTCTGTTTCTGATAGATTGTACACAGTTTAATATTTTTTCATCCTATACTCCTTAACATGGTTACGAACGAGACTTCTGTTTCTGATAGACTGTATACAGTTTAAGATTTTTTCATCCTATACTCCTTAACATGGTTACGAACGAGACTTCTGTTTCTGATAGACTGTACACAGTTTAAGATTCTTTCATCCTATACTCCTTAACATGCTTACGAACAAGACTTTTGTTTCAGTCCATGATCTTCTGTCTAATAAAAACTGGGCGAATCTTTTATGGAAATTTATAAAGTTTTCTGAAAATCGACATAACTAAGCATGTTCGTTTAATCCTTATGTTTTGGTGTCATTGTGTTTTTCTATAATTAGAAGACTTTTTTTGAATATCAGTTAAGAACAGTTAGGGACATTTTGTTTCTATGTTCAAATTATAATGTATTTGTACATTTCAGTTTTGTAATAACAATTCGTTACTTTTTTGTCTTTTCTTTATTTCATATTTTGTATAGAGCAAAGTTGTTGTGCGTGTGTTCCAGAAAAACAACAGCTATTAGCTAAGTAATTCCTCAAACGTTTTGTACCGTATGTAAAAAGACTTGGTTTGGTTGTCCTGGTTTCGTGACTTATGGCGTTAAACCGTTTATCAGGTAAAGGTTTACGGGCTGTCTTTAATGACGAATATTCCATCACGGAGATTCAACTCTACAGTTACATGCCTACTGTTTTCAATGCTTGATTGGTTGGTAGATTAGTTGTACGCGGCACCTCTTTGCAGGCGTTGACAAACAAGAAGAACAGCAGACCTGACTACACTGCTTACATGCAGGTCTATGTA